ACCCTTAGTCCTTCTTTTCATTAAACTATACATACCTAATTCTTGCAACCATTCTTCATGTGTTCTAGCCTCCCATCCCCTAATCATCTTCGTTGCTCTTCTCTGTACTTTTCCTAGAGTCTCAACATCTTTCTAAAATTGGGGCAACAGGTCTGTTTATATGATCATGGTGAAACACTTTAAGAAGTGAGGGAGAAAGGAATAAAAAAAGCAGCTCTGACCCAGATTCAAAATAATCACAAAATGGTCCATTTTTTTTTAGTCTTCATACTCTTGCAGCACAGAGTACTGTACAACAGAAACCCCATCACCACCATTATTATTAATTTTTATTGTTTCTGATGAACTCAGTCTTAGTATAACAAGTTCTCGGCTGCAGAGTTACATGCCAAGGGATTTCAAGAACTACGGATATTTAGACATTTAATTGAAAGGTGTGACATGTTTATTGAATTTCAAGAAATGTCACACAGATGCTTTAGTTCTTGGAAACATACCTGCATCTGTCTGTGATTTTGTACTGGCCATTCCAAATTGCCTTATCAAATGGCTATTCCAAAGATTTTCTTGAAAACCAATCAGCATCAGTTTCATACATTGGATAACTGATTTTTTTTCATTTCATGGCAAGTGAATAGGACCTATAGTGTGGAAGTTTCTGGAAGCACATTCAAAAGAAAGATCAGACATTTTAGGTGCATGTTTAAAACATTTTCACTAAATATTTTCTTACACACAAACACACACACACACATACTCCAGGTTAACTAAGTGATTATTCTTGAAAAACCAAATGCAAAGTATTTTTTCTGGCCTTCAATATTAAATACTTCCTGCAATCAAATAATTACTACCTTCCTAGGTAGATTATTGATTCTCTTTCATTTGTTTATAAATCTATGTCAGCATTTGAAGGTCTTAGAACTACCAATACTATAGCATATTTTTTGTACAGATTTGGGGTTAAATGAATCTGGAATATCTTATGTAGATAGTCTGCTGGCAAAACCCAATATATTTTAAGTGCTGTGTTGTCAGAAACTAGATAGAAAAGTGCAGACCAGATAGCTCTTCTGGATCCACCCAATTGCATTCCTGTCTTTCCTGCTTGTTTTTGTCCAGATGCTGGTAGGGGAATGCTTGTTTGCTATTAATTTATTGTGCACCAAATTATTCTGTGTGCTCATTCACATTACTCAATACCTGCACGAAACTGCTGCTGGGTGGGGGTGGGGGAACAGTTTTGAAACTTTGGTGTGAAGTGCAATCAGTTTGCTGATGGCACCCAGCCTATTACTCTTTCCCGTCCTTGCCTGAATGCTGCTGAAATTTGATAGTATACAGGATGAGAGAAACAAGCTGAAATTAAATCCAGGTCCTGTGGTAAGTGGAAAAGGATTTAGCCTGATTTGATGAGAGTGCACTCTTCTTGAAAAATATCTGCTTTCTGAAAAATGTACCTTGACGATCAGCTATTAAGAATTGGATATTCTGGCAAGGATATATTGTGGAATGGGTGGACATACTTATCAAATATATGTACAAAGTACTCCTGCTTTGTGGAATGCCACAGGGCTTGATTCTCCCCAATCCAATTTAACATCTATATGAAACCATTGGGTGAGGTTATCAATCAGCAAAACTCTAAGTATCATTGATAATGACCTATGACCTATTATTTTTTATTTATATGTACATTGTGAGCTTACGCACCAAAGACAAATTCCTTGAGTGTTCAATCACACTTGGCCAATAAACCTATTCTATTCTATTCTAATTCTTCATTGGAATACTTCCAAGAGATACTATTTGCCTGGAAGCAAGAACTTATGGGACCACAGAGTAGACAAAATAGAAAATGAATAAGCTAAGGTACTCTGGGACTTTATAATTTAAATAGACAAGTACCTGCCACCTAACATCCTGGAATTAACTGGCAGTGCCTGGAGACAGCAGATTAGACAGAAAGAACTGGATAAAATCACAAAGACCTGCAAATAAAAGTATAATAATTCTGGCAAAAGAAAGCAAGGATAGTACCAATAGTAACAGGAGCCTTGGGTGCAATCCCAAAAATCTGGTGCCCCATTTAAATGCCATTAGCATTGACAAAACCTCCACCAGTCAATTGCAAAAGGCAGCTTTACTTGGAACAGCTGACATCATGTGACAAATACTTCTAACAATATCACACTACATCTGCATATCCCAGGTCCTTAGGATAAAGGACCACCTTGATAGGTGGATAAAAATGCCAAATCCAGTCTAGATGAATGTGCAACCAACTATAATTTTAAAATTTATATGTTACCCAACTCCTGGTGATTCTGGGATAGCAAGTCATACAAATTTGATTGATGAATTAGCTGTACAATTAAGGTTAATGAAATGTGACCCTCAACTGGTCAAATAATAGTTATCCTTATCTACAGAGCATCTTCTTGAATGTTGCAATATTCTCTAAGCGCATATTAAAATTGTCCAGAATGTATAGTAAATACAAAATGAAAATAAGACTGTTAACATACCATGGAATTACAAGATGCCTGTATTAATCTGAATTGGCTGCCAGTGGCATTCTGAACACAATGTAAAATGTAAGTATTAACTTTTTAAAACTACGTGGTTTATAAGAGATTAGCCTGTGCAGCCGTTAAAATTTCCAAGAAAGGTCTTTTTGAAGAGCCATTATTTCTAAAATACTGGAGTATGCCATCTGTTCTGCTATGGAATAAAAATACCCAGGAATTGTAAGCAAGCAATAAGCAGAGGTATAAAGATGAAAATTTTTTAAAAAAATTGCCTTGACTGCTTGCATAGAAAGATGGGGTGAAAATAAAATTTAAACATTCAAATGTAAAATGAACAATATAAAACAATGAAATGTTTCAAAGCATTTTTATTGAACACAGCAACAGTCCCTTTTTTAAAAGAGTGCTTTAGGTATGAAGGGGTAAATCAACTTGCATATAGTATCATTAATGGTACAAATCCGATTTAAAAGTATTTTCAGTTGGTAACATAAGAAAAAAATAGAGGAAAAGATGTCATTTCATAATTCAAAGAAGAACAAGGTGAAAACAAAATTAATTATAAAATGTAAAAGTACGAGTTTTCACTGAATTCTAACAATCCCAAAATTGTGCATAAAGAAAATAAACACTATAGTACATGCTAAGGAGATTAAAGATCTATATGTGCACAAAATGCTCTTCTGTTTTAACCATTTCCTTAAAAGCTAGACTAACTCAGCTAAGAACATAAATTCAGTCTTTATTACACATAAATATATACAGTAAAATTACTTCTCCGTGGAAATATTAAATTATGCATTTCAGTAGATCATATTTGATGCCCATCAGTACTGTATTATCATTAGTCTTTGGCATTTTAGCATTGTCCAAGTTGGCTTCATAGTTCATCCTTGTAATTCTAATGTTATATTTTCCTGACTAAATACAATTTGAAAGTCACAACAGTGGGAGATGTACTGTAGTCTCTTATTATAGTGTGAGCCTATACATATCTATTCAAAAGAAAATGGGATTACCTTCCAGTCACTGCATCCTGAACAACTTATTCCATGTTTTAAAAACAATGTCAGCTACTAAAAGTTACCCTTAAAATTTTTCTCTACAAAATTTTTCTCCCCTGATGCAAACCTCCTTGCCTGCAGAACTAACTCTTAGCATACTAAAAGCACAGAACTTTAATTTCATGTGACAATCCACTCAAGTGTTTTCTTCTGCCACCTGGCAGGTTCAATTATGCTCTCTGAGTTGCAAATATGTGTCTGCCACATGCAGTATTTTTCTCCATACAGCTAAAAGGCTTCAGGGGAAGCAAATGAGAATTGGAAAAAAAATATTAAATGAAAATTTTGAAAAACAGGGTGAGGGAGATAGAGTATTTAGTACTGTTTTTATTTTTTATAACAACAGCTTTAAATATATATTTATATATTTATATTCCTTGCAGAGCTGGTAATTTGTATCATTTAGAGGGTCACTGAAGCACTTGGAAATAATATAAATCCTTCCATTACCCACTATCCTGTCAGAGCTGAAGAAGCTTCTGGGATGAGAAGCAAAATGTCTTCCAAAGAAAAAAAACAAGAAAGTCTAGTTGCTTTCTGAATAAGCACCTTTGGGACAACCATGACCTGGATGACTGCGAATCTCTACAGACTTTTAGTCATACATTTTGGGATGAACACCCTTTCGATGGTGTGGTTGTAGGAATGGATTTCCAGAGGAAAAAATTGCAGACTACAGGAACCAGGAGCACTACTCAGGTGACCCTGAGGACACAGATAAACCTCCAAGTGCTTCAACGACCCAAAAGGATGCAGATTACCAGCTGTCTGCAGGGAATATAAATCTTTCTATTCCCCACCGTCCAGTCAGAGCAGAAGAAGCGAAACTTCTTCAAAAGAAAAAAGCAAGAAAGTCCAGTTGCCTCCTGAAAAAGCATCTTTGGGACAACAATGACCTGGATGACTGAGAATCTCTACAGACTAATAGTTTTAAATTTTTCATAGTTAGTTAGATTGTTTTGTTTCTAATGCATCACTGCAAAGCTACAAACTAAGAACTGAACTAAGAGCATAGTGAATGTTTTATTTTATCTTTTCAAAAAGTTGTGGAAGGAAAAAAAAGAAAAGAGGAGGGCAGGTTAGCTTCTCCTTGGTCCAGAATCTGGAAAACATTTTTACTGGACAATAATAGGATTTGATTTATGAAACTGAAATGAGCATCATACATGGACATGTTCTTGGAGTACCAGCTTCAATAGTAAACAAGAACAAACACAAATGAATGACAGAATAACAGAGTTGGGGGGACCTTGGAGGTCTTCTAATCCAGCCCCTATTCAGGCAGGAATCCCTATACCATTCCACACAATCTCTTCTTAAAAACTTCTGGTGTTGGAGCACCCACAATGTCTAGAAACAAGCTGCTCCACTGATTAATTGTTCTCACTGTCAGGAAATTCCTGCTTAGTTCTAGATTGGATCTCTCTTTGATCAGTTTTCATCTATTGCTTCTTGTCTTGCCTTCAAGTAGATCTTAATTGAGTTTTACTGCAAATCTTGTTCCATTGGGAAAAAAAATTGGACTATCTTAAATTTGGAGGGAGTAAAATGCCTAACAATATGATGTAATCAGTTCATGAAATTATTCTTGTTTACAAAGATGGGCGCCCATTTGCAGCAGCATTAATTGTATTAAATGAATGAGGTTGCATTAAAGGACATCATTCCTCTCCAAGCTGGAAATGAGAATGCTTTCTTCGGCAACAGGAACTTCAGAATGAGCTTCTGTAAGGCAGGCATTTCTGAAGCACATGATAGTTCCAGATACGCCACTGGGTCTTGGCGAACACCACAAACATGTTGCTATGGCACTAACAGCTATCAGCAATGCAGATATCACCAGGACGAATATCCTATGATATGATCCTTGAAAAAGAGAGTGAAAGAAAAAAAAAGCCTGATAGTAACAGTTTTAGTTTCATCTTTAGGAATTAAAATATGGGAAAATGATGTCACATACCTTTCACTGGTGGTACTGCAGTCTCATGATAATCTGAAAAATAATGCACAACTAGCTACTTTATACGTTAGAGATAACAGCAATATAGCTAGGAGTAAACACTGTAGTTGTACATGTCCTTAGAACCTGTTGGGTATCCTATTTAATTATTTTTAAAAGTTTTAAAAAAACAACAACAACAGGTACATGAAAAAAAAAGTGCAAGTGCATTTCTAGACTGTATCTAAATCCTTGACAGGCGTTCTTAGACATCGTAAATGGTAGTTTTGCTTAGAACTGCATCTCACAGCCCAGAAAAAAAGTCAAAAGATGGAATCATACAAAAGATCATGTTGAATTATACGAGAGAAGAAACATCCAAAGTTTATCCTCTGATAAATAACCGTTTCTTTTCTGCGTACCCTAGGAACAAGCAAATCCCATCCACAACTCCCATTAGCAATTATTTTATATTTCTCCAAAACTTCAAAATGTGCCTATCAGCCTCAAAAGATTGACTGTCTTAGATTTAATAATTATATTAAGATGTTCCCCTTGAGCTAAATTTATCTCCTCAGAAAATTATGAACGTTAAAAGGTTTGGTTAGGTAATAATATCAACAGTTTACTTGAACAAACCATCAAGTTTAAGGATTTTTTATTCAATATATAGAGTTATATATGTATAAACATTAATTATAGCTTTACCTCTTATGAGTGTATTATTTAGAATAAAAATAGATGCCAATAATTTTGGTCAAATATGCAAAAGTACTGGGTTTGATAGAGAATCTCCTAGGAGTAAGATAGCAATTTTTTGTTCAATTATTATCTGATTCATTCAGGTTTTTTATTTATTTATTTAGTGAAATGGCACGGGAAAATCCCTGTCCAATTCATGCTCTCAAATGTGGATTGAGGCATACCCTATCTACAGTGTTTGCCCCCATAAAGTATCTATGTCCAAATGATAAACTTCAGCCTCACTGAATTTTCATTAGTTGTAGTTGGGATCTTTGCAAGCCTTATGGCACTCATGTCTTTTTTTAGAAATCCAAATTCCTTAAGAGGTTCTAAATGTTTTATCCCCTTTAAGGACTGGTGGCTGCAAATAGTTTGCTTTTGTCCCAGCTAGGTCGATGTTTGCACAGAAGGAAGAGTTAATGTTTAAGCAATAACGTGGAGCTTATGGGTTTCCTACCCTTTGATTAGAATGTAAGAAGAGAAATAGTAGTTACGTATCCTTTAAACATAGGTTCATACCGAAGGAGGAGCTGACGTCGCAATGACATGACGTGCGATCTTGGTGCTCCAAGATCACAGTCGATACTTTTGCCACTGGACGGTCCTTTTGGACCTAAACCGTCCCGAAGAGATGGTGACAGGGAAGAGTATGTCCTGCTGATCTCAGGGACACCACAAAGTCCCTGATTGATCCAGGAGAATCTTTTTTTGCCGGTGACAGAATCGCAGCCATTGAAGCTGCTGAAGTTGGGACAGCTGCGGAAAGGGAGGAAAACAGAAAGAGAAAGTGTGTCCATCTGGTGAGGAAATCTTATTATTATAAAAGAGACTACCCCCAAAAAATTAAAGCTAAATTAAATTTGAAAACAGAAGAGAACAAGCGGCGAAATTAAGCTACATTAGACAGTGTGTTATCCTCTTTTTTTAAATTCTCTTTTACAGATGGAACTTTTGCAAATGTTTCCTGTTCTTTAAATTGAACGGATTAGTTTTTCTTCTACTACTT